TGGGGGAATGACGGCTTCGTGGGCGTTGTCGTGGACCGTATTGGGGCTATCTGGGGTCGTCTCGGTAGCGCGCCGGAACGAGTGGGAACCCGTCTGGGGTCGGCTTCGGGCTCTCGTGAGGTTCTCCCAGGAAGCCTGAAGGGTTGCCCGGAGGCCCGTGGAAAGCCAAATTCGTTTGGGGAGATAAGGGGGCGCTGGGGTGTGGGCTCCCCGGCGCTATAATATCTATATATATATATATATATATATATATATATATATATATATATATATATATATAAATATATAAATATATGGGCTCCGTGGCGCTACAATATTAAGATTGCTATATATCTGTATATAATATTATATGTGTGTATGTCTATATATACCTATACATACATATATATGTGTGTGCGCATGCTTGACTGTATCTGTACATATATATATGTGCGTGTGGAAATGTTTATATATATATATATGTACATGCATACATACATGCACGTGTGCATGCTCACGTGCTCATATACACGAACATATACTTATACTTACTCAAAAACATATGGATATGCAAATACACATACATATACATACGCATAGAACCTATGCATATATATACATACATATACGTATCCAATACACATACACATACAAATCAATACATATACATACACACATACATGTACATAGACATATACATGTACATATTCATATATATATTTGCGTGTACATATACAAATATAAATACAAATACAAGTACATATGCATATACACATGCATATACATATTCATACACATATACATGCACGTATACATAAACATATACCTATACATATGCATATACATATGCATATACATATACATATATACATACACAAACACACATAGACATGTACATGTACGTATACACATACATATACATATACAAATGCATATGTATCTATACATATGCATATAGCAGGTATATAGACATGCATACTTACACATATACATACACATGTACATGCACATGTATATATACATATGCATATATATACATACATGCATACATAAACATATACATATACTTATGTATAGACATGTACATGTACATATACATATGCATATGTATGTACATATACATATGCAAATACAAATATATATGCATAAACATATACATATACGTGTACCTATGCATATACATATACAAACACATATACATATACATATACATAGACATGTACATACACGTATACATATACATGGACATACACATATGCATATACCTATAAACACATACGCGTATACACCTACATCTATATATAAACACGTACATATGCATATGCAAATGCATACGCATACACAGATGCATCTACACATAGATCTATATATACAACTACACATACTTATACATATACATATACATATGCATATACAGATACATGTACATATACATCTACATACACATATACATATATACATGCATACACCTGTGTACAAATTTGTACGATCCTATTCCTATATCCCTGTCACCTGGAAGTAACCCCCCACCACCACCCCATGTTAAACCGGAGCCCCCCCCCCCAGGGACGCCCCTGACGCCTTTTCTGACGTCTCGGCGGCCCCCTGGACGCCCCTGGAAAAAGTCCGCTGGCCCTTCCACGCCTCCCAGGCCGCCTGGCTGGGCCTTGCGAACAGACTCAAGGCGATCAGAGGGGCCATCAGAAAGGCGCACGAAAGACCCAAGACAGCACAAGAGCGCTTCAAGAGGAACCTCGACGGTCTAAAGAAGACGGCCCAAGAAGCCCCCAAGACGCCCCCAGAGGGCGTTAAGAGAGCCCCGAAGAAGCAAAAATAGTCCCCATTCCATTGGGTAAATGTATATGGTTTGCGTATCCGCTTTGGGGCTCTTCGCAGCGTCCAAAACGGCCCGATGAGCCCCCGAGATCGCCCGATGACGGCCCAAGAGGCCCCCCAAAGGGGTTTGAAGACGGCCAAAAGAGGGCCCCAAAACTGCCCCAGAGAGCCCCGAGACTAACCACAAGAAGCCCAAAATGCCCCCAGAAGACTCTCGAGAGAGACAAACGAAAGCCATGGGAGACCGCCATGAAGGCCACTGGAGGACCCCAAGAGGGCCCTAGATGGCTTCAGAAGACCTCTGGAGGGCCACAGCTCCCCAAGACGGCCCAAGAAGGACCCAGGACGGCCCCAGAGGGCCCCAGGACGGCCCCACGACGGCCAAACGTCCAGACGGCGTTCTCCTACGAAGTACATCGAGCTGACCCGAAAATCTTGGTTCCACGCTTGAGGCTCGAGGTTTAAATTCGTCGATCAAAAAAGACAGGTCTCCCCACCTCCTCCCCCCTTCCCCCTCTTCAGCTCCCCCCCCTCATCCCTGCTCCCTTCCCGTTCCCCGTCCATGGACAAGAGCCATCGCAACAGTTACATGCTTCGTCGTTTGCCAGCACCTTCGCCCGTGAGAAAATAACATTCCTTCCCCACTGCTGCGCCCAAGCGGTGTGAAAAAATAGCATTCCTTCCC